CTCTAGAAATGAGAGAATATGAATCAATGGAAGGAGTTACCAATAGGAAAATTAATTAAGAATAATAAGTATAATATTTAAAAATAATAATAAAAAATATAACAAACGGGTCTACCCGTCAACTCGCGGGTTGACTCTAACCCGACTTGTGACCCGTACGGGTTGATAATACGGGTTATTTATGGGTTGCGGGTTGAGATATGTAGAATTTAACCTGCTTTTCACGGGTTGGGTTAAGGTCGGGTTAACGGATTAGGTGGATTTTTGCCAAGTCTAATTTTAACTAATTTTTTGAAAATTCAAATGTTAAATTAAAAATTTTGTTCATATAATTTATATGTTAAATTTTAAATTGTTTTAGTAGGTTTAACTATTTTGTTATTATATAAAATTGAACATTATTAAATATATGTTAGTAAATAAAGTTTTTTTTTATCAAAATATTAGAAGTGATAGATTAATATAAAAATTGATATTCATAATTTATATTAATTGAACTTTCAATCCAATAATTAATTCTTAAGAATATTAATTAAAATATAAAGTTCTAGATAGGTTCTTAAAAAAAAAAAATTTTAGAGCACTACCAACCAAACACTAACTTTGTTTTTCTTTTCTTAATAACATCATAAGAACTCTGTATCTCAAAGTTATCAAGTAAATTTTCAATTTTGTTTTATTTTTATGTTTTGACCAACTAATAACCAATAATCATTGCTCTAATCTAGTTCTTTTTATTACTCCAATTAATGAATTAAGTATTTCATTATTTTTAATTTGAATTGCATAATAACAAATAACTTATAGTTATTACTTTAATCATTACTCCCTCAGGACATAACTTTTGTCAAATTAGGTTCCAAACTCTGCTTGCTAATTTACTTGAAACTTTGAAAGAGCTTACATGTAAGACTTTTCATTGCAATTCCAAACAGGAAACAATAAGAAGAGCAGTTTAGAAATGACAACTATAAAATGGCTACATTCTTGAATGCATTGCTTCATGACTTGGATAGATGATCGACTATAAAATAGTAGCTAGAAATGAAGCACATCTCAGTGTAATAAAACCACGCCCGTCTCCAATAAGGATTTATGTAAAGAACTGCCGCAATAGTCATGAGCACCATTATGTAAGACACAATTAAACTCACATAGAAGACACCCATATCGATGAAACCATCATCTTCTTTGCCCTGGGTTGGACCTTCCTGGATCATTGGTGGTGGACTTCTTGTTGAGCAACTTTTCATTGGTTCCCCACAAAGCAGAGGATTACCTTGGTAACAACTTCCATCAAATGTTGCAAATTGTCGAATCCTTGCTGGTGTCTTACCTGATAAGTTGTTGTATGCCAGGCTAAAGGTAGATAAGAAATTTAACTCAACAAGCTCGGGAGGAATTTTCCCACTCAAATTGTTGTAGGAAAGATCCAAGCTCTCGATTTGCGTAAGGTTAGAAAATGTAGATGGGATTCCACCAACCAAGAAATTATGAGACAGGTTTAGTACATGAATCTTACTAAGGTGCCCTATTTCATAAGGAATTTCGCCAATCAGTTTGTTGCAAGAAAGGTCTATTCCAGACATGTAGGTGAGAAGTCTTCCCTCGTAAGAATATGCCATATTCTTTGTTGTGAAATGCACTGGTTCACCAAGAGAAAGTGTATCCCTGAAAAGTAGGATAAAAGTTGTACCAGCGACAGGAGTAGAATTAATCTGATTACTATCCTCATTATATTGCTCATCAGTAGTAAGATTTAGGCATGAGGGTATATGGCCTGAAAGATGGTTTTGAGATAGATCAATCAAGCTCAATTTTTGCAACTTGCATAGTTGACATGGGATCTTACCTTCAAGATTATTGTTCTTCAAGATAAGATAACTCAACTCACTAAGCATATTGATGCAATCTGGGATGTTACCACTTAGTTGGTTGTCACTAAGGTCTAGCGTTACTAGAGAAGAGCTCTTACAAAACTGTGTTGTCAGTGATCCTTCTAGCCTGTTTTTGGATAAATGAACATGAATTATATGCCTTGGGCCGAAACAAGATGGTAGACTCCCTGAAATATTGTTATTTGAAAGGTCTAGGATTAGAAGAAATTGAACCCGACAAAAGTCAATAGGAATTGGACCTTCAAGACCATTATTGGACATGATAATTTCTTGCAAGCATGACATATTTCCCATCCAGCTCGGGATCCTACCAGAGAGATTGTTATTGCTGAAATCTATTGAAAACAGATAGGGGCAGTTAGATAAGCTTTTTG